GAGTGAGTGAGTGAGGGAGTGAGTGGTGAGATCTTGTGTTGTGTCAGTGAGTGAGTGAGTGATGTGAAGTATGAGTGAGTGAGTGAGTGAGTCAGTAAGTGAGTGCGTGATTGAGGAGGGGGCGAGGAGGACGGAAGGAAGGAAAGAAGGACCGGCGGATGCGGGCGAGATGCCAGCGAACAAAACTAGAACCCCACACAGAGATGTGGGGAATTATATTAATATTGCATTAAATCTAAATTTAATATACATTCATTAATCAATATTCTTTTAATTTATATTAAATTATATATCTATATCTATATATTTCCATATATTTAATTTTTTAAAATATATATAAATTAAATATATCATATTATAATATTAATTCTAAATATATATATATCATTATTTCAATATATATTAAATCAAAGAAAACATAAATCTATAGAATTCAAATAAATCTATATAATAAGCCAAATATATAAAAATATAGTTGGATTTTGTTTAAAAAAAATAACAAAATATATGTATTAAATTCAATTAAATATTCAAGAATTCCATTAAAAATAATTATCTAAATAACAATAATTACCGCAATACCATCAAAATCAATATTTCTAAATTTACACATTTATAAAGCAATTAATATTCACAGGATTTATATTGTATATGTATTGTAACATACCAAGAGGTCCGAGAGATCAATTGTTTAATCTATTTTTCAATCAATGGATCTCAAGTTTCGTATAAGCAAAGGTTTCGCGCGCCGCATCTGCCTTGAGTAGCAGCGCAAGGGCCGAGTTTGTAGGTGCTGCTGCACAGGTTGCGAGCAACTGATACGGGCCTTACGTCAGTGTCTGCATTCCCGTGCTGCAGCCGCAGGATGCTAAAGTGCATTGCCTTACAGTAAGTGCGATATCAATCCTTACAATCGTCCTTGGCAGTCAACAGGTTTGCCTACAGCCACCACGCATCCCGAGCCCGGCGAAAATTTATGGGAAACATCCTACGTTGGATTCAAATAGCTGTATCAAGAGAGTGCAAATTTAAAGCAAATGGAAGCTCCTAAATCTGGCAATCCAAGGGGTTCCATGCACACACAAATGGACATTAGCCGCTCGCACGGTATCAACAGCAAAGGGCTCTACTCTAATCCCATTTAGTTTTCCAAACTTTTCGGGTGGTGCCTCGGATCAAATGCCATGCTATGGAAGTCTGAGGACAGTGCCAACACACAAAAATAGACTAAAATACTGGGCCTGGCAATTAAACCTTACTTGACAAATATCTCAATTCAAGACCCTTTGTTGGACAGGATCAAGCTGGCCATCTTTGATGGTGGATACGGGAAAATCTCCACCTCCTTGAGGAGGGACGAAGGCAAACCACTTGGTCCTTGAAGTGGTTCCAGCATCCTCCCGACTTTTTCTCAAGCAGAGATTAAAGATGCGCAGGGGGGCAAAGCTGTTTCAGGCTTCAGTGCATAGACTCTAGAGGAATGCGATCGACCGGTTCAGCTAAGGTGGACGCCAAACCGGTCGAATTTGCATAAGGCATAAAGTATATGGCCGCCTGATGTATAGGTTGTGGCCGTTTTTGGCCGACGTTATGGCAGAGTCACATGGGTGAGCCTGGTGAGCCCCATCCTGTGACAATTCAGAAGGCCCTTGAGGGGTCAGGTGGTCTAAACAACTCAATTTCTGATCCGAACGCCAGTGTCGGACTCACTCATGCAGCGCACGTGGTGATCCTGAAAGTTGCACTTGAAATCCATCAGCGAGCCATCCGGTCGGTCATCCTATGGCTTCCGCAAAAACCCACGTTTTGCTCGTTTCGCCATTCGCTACAGAAGTCGACTTACTGCCTTTGGCCTTCTCTTCATCTGTTGAAGAGGGGCTGAAGGGAAGTTCGTCTTACAGTAATGGATCTTTCGCCGTTGATGTGTAAGCTGGCCCTAATATCATGGGTGTGTACAGACGAATACGCCGGCGAGTGTCTACCGATTCTTCTTTATGAAATGGCTTTGCCCTTCGCACTCAGCAGGCACAAGCAAACGGCCTGGGGACCATGCAGCTAAAGGGTTTTGATATGCCGAAACGATATGAGCGCCTTAGCTCATTGATTAGGCCTGTAAGAATGTTTTAGGTCCCAAATGAAAAGCTTGATGAAGAAGCAGGCTTTGTAGAGTTGCTTCATTGTGGCCCCTTGTGGGGTTCAATGACAGTTTGTCCTACACCTCTTTTATGGGTCTTTCGCCGTTGATGTATAGGCTGGCCCCAAATCATGGGCATGTTTCGCTGGCCCGCGTCTCCCTGGTTGCCTTCATGCCGTCTGGGCTCAGCAGGCACAAGCGGACCTGGGTGAAAGAGTTTTTAGGGTGTGAATGTCAGCGTGTGAACGGAGCTTCGTGGTGTGGGCGCAAAGGGCTGGCCACATTCACCAACGCCTTGACTTTTATGTGATTTGGCGCTTCTCGGGCACACGCTACCCTTTTGCGCCATGATTGCCATTGCTTTGGCACGCAGCCTGCCCTTCCCACAGACCAGCTCTGCCACAAAGAATGCTTCCTTTGCGGAGCTCTGCTTACTTTCATGCCAGAGCGACGCGAGGACTTGGCTTGTGAGATTTAGATCTGTCGAAGGTCTTCAACATGCTCCGCAAAATCACTAAAGAGCCCGTGACCTTATATCGAGAATCTCCAGTTGAAATGTTCAAAAGCTGCCTTTAGAGTGCATTCCCCAAACTCTGAGGATGAGGCTTACCACATCTGCGCGGTCGGTCTCTGACAATTGATCAGTCCCAAGTCCTCGGCACAAACATGCCCCCCCCCATGTTGCTTACCCGACGCGAAGTCATCAATGTTGCTGGTCACCATGAGTTTTGTCAGGAGGGCCTGCAGCAGGATAAAGCTTGTTGCCGTTGTGAACTCGTCAGCATGTTTGATGGCTGTGGCTCTAGGCACCACGTCCTGTGGAACAAATGCATTGTTCTCCGGCTCTTCTGTCGCCAGCGCAAAGGGCCAGAGGCTTCGCTATATTGCTGCAAACCATCTTGCGATGAGTGATGAGTACTCAACCCACGTGGACATACAAGAGATGGTTGCATCTCCACTTGTTCATGCCATGTTGCCCGGCGTGCTTTCTCCTAAAAAGAATCTCCAGTTAAAAAGTTCAAAAGCTGCATTTAGAGAGCCTTCCCAACCTCTGAGGATGAGGCTTACCAAATCTGCACGGTCGGTCTCTGACAATTGATCAGCCCCAAGTCCTCGGCACAAACATAACCCCCATGTTGCTTACCCGACGCGAAGTCATCAATGTTGCTGGTCACCATGAGTTTTGTCAGGAGGGCCTGCAGCAGGATAAAGCTTGTTGCCGTTGTGAACTCTTCAGCATGTTTGATGGCTGTGGCTCTAGGCGCCGCATCCTGCGGAAAAGTTTACATGGTTCTCCGGCTCTTCTGTCGCCAGCGCAAAGGACCAGAGGCTTCGCTATATTGCTGCAAACCATCTTGCGATGAGTGATGAGTTCTCACGTACCATCCCTGGTCATGCACCAGAACACATGCAGCTTATGTAGAAGTCTAACTTTCCTCCAACCCACCTGTGGGAGGTCAGGGAAGACATCATGGCTGTTTGGAACTGAACATGGCCTGGCAGCTACATGAGGCAACAAGCGACCTGACCCTTCTGCTAAAGCTATCCGCGCATTCCCACCACGGAGAGTCTTGACAGGGGTGCACAAGGTCCTGCAGGTGGATCAACTCACGATCGTTCCAACCTAAAGGAATCTCTTCCAAGTGAGCATTTGACGAAGTGCTCAAGCCTTGACCAAGCTCAAAATATGCACCAAGGTGACTGAAGTGGACAAGTTACAATTCCAACTTAGCCACATGGCCCCTTGACAAGGCCAGCTTCAGAGTCGGGAGGTTATTCAACTACACATTTGAGACACATGGCCGGAATGTGAATGCTCCGCATCCTGACCACCAATCAAAACACCCCAACACATTTAAGGATATACGATGCGAAAACACAAATGTGGGGCGGTTGGGTGTAGGTGGGGCAAATGCCCCTGTTTCTGAAGCCAAGAGGCACACAGTCAAAATGCACCTTGGAAAACCGAAATGAGAACGTTGGCGGGAAGAGGCAACTGCAGGGCGGCCATTGTTTCTCCGGAAAGGATCATAAGCAGCCACGTGTGGCCAGGTGCGGCCCCACGTGCGAGTATGTGCGACCTGTGCTGCGTCAAAGCCACCCGCACCAGGCACGGGCAGCGCATAAACCTCTTGCTTCTGGCTTTGCGTTGCGCCAAGGCGCTGTCGGTTAGCTTTGCAAGGGGAGCCGCACCCCCGGCACGTGCTTATCAACCACTGCCTATAAACCACACTTAACATCCCAATTTCAACAAAGGTGCGAAGCACTAGATGTCGGCAAATTCCCGATGATCAAAAGACTGGCGCGCTCGACTGGCTTGTCTCAGTCAAGACTGGCCCACCAAAAAAGTAAGACCATAGCCATATTCCCCCCACAAGGCAAACCCCTGGCATCTCAAATCCACATCCAGTGCATTGCACATTTGTTGAAATTGACATGTTATGTGAGGTTGATACGCACGTGCTGGGGGCGCATTCCTCGTTGGCTCTGCCCCTAGGACCTCAAATTCTGGCACAACTCCCCCCACTTCTTGAAGCAATCTGCACCCACAAGTCAGAATTGGAAATGGCAACGGCATGAGCACACCGGTTTGGACATTCTACGCTCCACATGAAGCACGACATGCTCAGCGCCCACCCCAAGCTAAGCAGGACAAGGAGGACACCCTTTCTGTGGACCAAATTGAGCTGCTCAAGATTGTTCACGAAGCGGAACACAAAAGATTTGAAGATGTCCGGGTTTGATGCCCGGCGCTCAATACTCAAGTGTGGCAAGGATTCAGGACTTCAATTGACCTGCCCCTCCGCAGATAGCATGTGCAATCGAACGTTCCATTCTGGCCAAGCGCTTCATCAAATCATTTCTGCGAACACACTTGTCAGAGCTGGCAGCAGGCAAAAAGCAGAATGAATCATTCAGGCCCGAGCTTCCCAGCACAGGCATGGGAAGTTGTGCTCCCAAAGCTATTTGAATGACTTGCCATTGCTTAGCTCAGTAGCATGGCAGCATTGAGTGCAAGTATCAACTTATTGACAGTGTCGTGAACCGGAGCCTGGATTGCGCGGCGGGCTTGCCATACATGTTCCGCTTCACAAACACCAGAGCCTGCAGTCACCAGTCCGAAATCGGGGAGGGTCACAGCCAAAAACTGCAGTTCAAGCTCAAGGCCCTGGCTATGCAAAGCAAATGAACTGCTCACATGCATTTTGTTACCACAGTGTTCTTATCTCTTGCTCTTCAAGATCTTGAAGCACGGATGGCCCTTCCCGTGCAATGTGTTTACAGCTCCAAGCCGACAAAAGTCAGGGGAGGCATTTAACATCGCAACCATTGCAAGATTACACATACATATGTACATATATATATATATATCAAACAATAGTGAGAGGCATGTTTTTTCATGGCTCAGTCCTGTTCAGCGCAAAAGGCCACAGGGCACCACATGGCCCGAGTCTGGCCGAATCAAACTTTAGGCTGCGATGCCCTTGTTACTAGTAACTGTTACTAGCAAGTAGCTTCTTGCTCCTAGTAGTAAGGCCAGGAGCCCCTAGTAGCGTCCTTGTTCCTAGTAGCGATGCATCAAGCACCCTGAGACTCAAAAACAGCATTGAAGTTGGGACAGCCCACCGAATTCTTAATCTATGAATCGCACCGAGAAACTGTCAGTGGTGGCAGTGCAAACGCTTTGGCGAGCCCGAAATTCTGGGTTGCGTTCCCAGTGGGCTGCAGCACTTCCAACTGTCATTCCACGTGCGAGCAGCCCGTGCATTAAAAAAGTGGACGTGCAGCATCGAAGCATTGCAAAGCACTGCAACCTTTCGGATTCTGGGTGAGGTAGTGGATCTTGAATGGGTTGACAATATGGTTTGTCATGGGGCTGCTTGCCAAAAACCAGTCCACGCCTTGCGGCTTTTGCACAGATCAGTCGGACATTTCGGGATGTGATGTGGTAAAACTTGTGCCAACGGTTTGGGCAATTTTTGCTCCAATCGCATGCTGGCTACTAGGAACAAGGACGCCATTCATGTATTTTGGTGGTCACTGGATTAAGGATATTCCTCTGCCGTGAGGAAACTGGCAAGAAGGATTTGTGATAGATCCTTGTTACTGCCTGGAAAACCTGCAGTAATCTGGAAAAACTTGGTTCCTGACTTCAGGTCTTTATGGTTGGCTGGTTGGTCGGTTAAGTTAGCTTGCTTGGTGCAACACACTCTAAGTCACCTCTTCGGCACATCTGAATGCCTACTCCCTCAATTCTGCCATGGAGTCAAACACAATTGCGAGGTAGGGTCACTTGAAAGGCACCCATGGAAGAGCACGAGGCCCTATCTTCCGCACGAGCTATCGCAGAATCCCAAAGCGAAGTGGATCCTCCAAGTTATGCTTGGCAGTCAACAGGTTGGGCTACATCGGCTACGTCCACCAAGCAACCCAAGCCCGGCCAAAGCTTTTGGGAACATCCCTCATTGGATTCAGACAGCTGTATCAAGCGAGGGCAAGTTTAAATTAGAGCAAATGGAAACAAATGGAAACAAGGGGTCCCTCGCACAAATTGACAATAGCCGCTCGGCGACTCGGCGAGTAGTTTTTTTCCAAATTGCAATGGATTCAAACACCATCGCGCTACAGGTAGGTCACTTGAGAGGCCCGTCTTGTCTTCCGCATGAGTTGTCGCAAAACCCAGGGACCCTTCCGCTCTTGCGATGTTTCAGTCGCTTTGCCTGGAAGGACTTTGTGCGCAAAGCCGCTGGTGGCTTTCGACAACTCAAAAACACGACTCGGTCACACACCACCTGTGTGTCCGACTTTTGCACCAAAGGTAACTTACAATCTCTTCATCTTTACCTACCACACCAACCTTGCAGGGACATGATTTGGATGGCACGAACTAAATCTATTTCAAAATTGACTAAGGTTCAAACGCGAAACATGGCTTACTTCAAAATCCATCTGGCCGCAAGAGATTGCCACGGAAACACGCTTGGCACTGTCCTCAAATTCTGCGTTTTTTCTTATCATCTCAAACCGTGAACTTCATGCACTCAAGTCACATGGCCTTCCGCCCAAAAGGGATGCCCTTGACTTGCTCATTTTTCCAGCACCCGCTAACTGAGGTTTTACAATGTTTCCGCGAACTAAGAACGAATCAGCTAAGTTTCAAACACCGCACCTGCAAATTCAGAGTATATACTTTCTTTGCCAAGTTTTGCGAACTAAGTCTGTGACACTTCTGTTGCATCATAACCAGCGGAGTCCTATTCTATGTTCCGGCTCCTTTTCAAGTTAGGTTCAACATGTTCTCCCGAATCTCAAGTTTCCAGCGTGGCACTCTGGCTCAAAGGCGGTTGGAAGCACTCCTTTGCCACCTGCACAGGCGTCAACTGGCATCAGATATGTCCACCCCTTTGGGAAGTACTATACATCCTCAGCAGGAAGCATACACGTGCTTGCATTGAGCTTTGCACAAAAAAGTTCAGCGGCTAAGGAATATTCCCCGCTATCAAATCATTGAGTTCTCAATCTGTGGCAAATAAGACCGCTGCGTCATAAGGCACCTCGGACCGGTGCTGAAGGGCAACTCAACTCATCGGCCAAGACCGTTCCTACCGTGTCACATCGTTTGCTTCTTGTATGTGTAGGGGTCATCAATGTTCCCCTCTGTCTGTGGGGCAAGGGCCAGAAATTGAACTCACGTGCACGAACTTTAACTTTACCGCTATACTCCTAGACAAAACAACTTGGACTTGCTTAAAGCTAATAACAAACACCACCCAAAACACCCCCAGCCTTAAACTGGGCAGCTGGTATGAGATATATATATATATACATTACATGTGTACACCTCTACTAACTAGAGTGCTTCCCAGACTACGCTCTGTGCACTATTCCTTTTTCCTAGGCACTCTCTGCAGTAAGGGTCTCTGTACGTCACCATGACGTTGTTGCGTTGGAAACTCACAAAGTGTGAGCAGTGTTCATAGCGACACATCCATTCCTGGATGAAGCTTAGGTACCCATCTATGGAGACACGTCTACCAAGACGTATCCATAGCGATGTATCTACCCAACCAGGGATCCACCCTGGAATGAACACCAGGCCTGACAACAGGTCGCCCGTAAAGGAAACTCCCAAGGCGGGGGAACCAACGTGGTCCCGGCCATAGGGGTGGGCTGGGTGGGACAGAAAAACTCCACTGTCCCACTTTTGGCTTGAGCCAAAATGGACAATGTAACATATGTAATGAATACTGTGCACCCAAACCTGCCCAAAGCTCGACACAGTTTTACATTACATGTGTACACCTCTACTAACTAGAGTGCTTCCCAGACTACGCTCTGTGCACTCTTCCTTTTTCCTAGGCACTCTCTGCAGTAAGGGTCTCTGTACGTCACCATGACGTTGTTGCGTTGGAAACTCACAAAGTGTGAGCAGTGTTCATAGCGACACATCCATTCCTGGATGATAGATACCCATCTATGGAGGCCCGTCTGCCAAGACGTATCCATAGCGATGTATCTACCCAATGCACTTCTCCCAACGCACTTTAAAGAAAGAGACCGACTCGCAGAGTAGCCGGAAAAGGAAAATAGCAGAGTGGTTCGAAGAAAGAGGCGACTCGACTAGTGAAACCCTGGTCGTGGTGCCAACGATCCGCGTGTCCATCTCGGGAAATTGCATCACTCCAATTGCTCTTGGAGGGGGTCCACTCGAAGTAAATCCAGCAACGGAGCGAAAACAAAAGAATGTGAATCATGTGGCTCATGTGCTCTAAATCGAAGCTATCGGACCTGCCTTTGATGAGCGCCATCAAGGCGGCCGTGTTATCTATGTACCACGTGCCGCGGTGATTACGGAATCGCTCAGGTGTGGTAGTCAAAGCGATGAGTACTTGTAGTAGCTCGAGCTGGGCGATCTTTGCGTTTGCTGGTGTCCATAGCTCATAGATGGATGAGGGGAGGTGTGAGACGAAGCCAAGTCTAGTCTCCTCCAAGTCCTGAAAGAAAATCAGGAGGAAACCTCCTGCGCCTTCTCCAGGAGATTCCAGAGCGGCGTCTGATGCAGCGACAAATCGTTCATGGCGCCGTGGCCATACATCAAGTTCACGCTCTGGGTGAATAGAAACGACAGCTTCAAGGATCTGAAAGCATTGCTCAATGGCAGGGGTCAGCTGGTCACCACGGACAAGTTGACGTTCCTTGATGGCATGAAGACCACCACAACCAATACGGCCACACACTCCTTGCTCAAAGAAGTTGGCAAGGCCATAGAGTTTGGCGGCAACGCCAGGTTTGAGGGTTTGAGCTTTGCGACAATCCTGAATGATGGTCACCAATTTGGTTTCCAGGCGTTCCCCCGCCCAAAAAGAAACAAAGCCTTCTGATAATGCTGCAGGAAGGTCGTGATCCAAACCTAAGAACAAGCCTTTAGTGCGCATAAAACGGGGTACCCAATAACTGATTGAGGATGCCAAAAGCCCACTGGGCCGACCCTCGGCTGGACGACCAGTCTTGTATGGAAGCATCATCAAAGTATAACGATACCAGCACGTAGCAAAGCCGACGGCCGAGAGCCTCAACTAGGCGACTTTCTCGATTGAAGGAGGTCACCGCTAACGGGAGGCCGAACAGGAGACCTGCGTAGACCTGAAAAGCTGGAGCAGCCCATTCATGATGCCAAAAAGTCACGACGCATCCTCGCGTCTCAGAGGTAACCATGGGGCTATGGCGGTAGGCATCCGGCCAATCCTCTCCACCTGATTCCCAGGCGTCTGTTGCACGGGCACAGGCTAGGTCGTGGGCGCTCATGCTGCGAAGGACCTGACAAATGTGTTGCGCTGGTCTAAGAGGGGAACATAAGACCAGTTTGTTGGCATCAGCTGACCTCATGGTTTGGCCTCCGACGTCTGCGTTGTCGATGACTCGTTGCTTACCGGATGATTGAGTAATCACACAACGTGGAATGAGTCGGTAGGGCTGTCCCTGCAGATGACTACGCAGTTGGGGTAGTGTCAACGGGGGTGTGCAAAACCCACAAGCTGCGTCCTTGGTTGACTGCTCAAGGAGGAACTTGTCGTCCTTACCAGGCTTCAACATAGAAATCATCTGAAAATTGCGCTCTCCCCATCCGGAGAGGACCTCAGCCAATGCAATGCGCTCGGATGCGCTCGGGAGGTTGTGAGGGAAAGATGCCATAGCATGGTGCATATCCCACTGCAGGGAGCCCGTCAATCAACCCAAATGGATACGTAATATCTGGCCATGATGTCAACAGAATCAGTAAAGCCACAAAGCCTAAGTCACGAGAGGCTGTGGTTTCTTGCAATGAAACATGTTGAAACTGTCGCAGGCGATGTCCTACTGCACACCAAAGGCGCTGTAGCTCTCGCAGTGCCCCCACTGCTGTACGACGCAAGTCCCGCAAGCGACCACGTTGCTGCGCATGGTAATCAGCTGCGAAGACGAGATCAAGGTCCAAGACAGCTGGCAACTCAGTAGGGAGCGGTCGATGTAGAGCTTGGGTGAAATGTTCATCCGGACTGAGGCCATAAGATAATAGCGGGGGCAGTGCTGCACGTTGGTTCAAGGCACCCACCTGATGTCCCTCAGCAGTCCGAAGAGTTTGGCGGACTTGAGCGTCAGCCAAATGTGTCGTAGGCTCGATCACGAAGCCATTGTGGGAATGCTGTGAAGGGAGCTGCATTGATGATGTCCTCAATCATAGGGAACTTGAAGTTGTCAAAGAAATGCGCTGGGTACAGCTTGCGGAAGGCCAGGGTCAGCGCTTCCTGACTCCACCAACGTGCTGGTGAGGCTGGTACGCCGTTCGCAGAGCTGAGCATACTGGGCGTGATCACCCGGCGTGGCGCTGGGGTGCCTCCACGGCTGAAACGTTGTCATAGCTTGTTGACCACCAGGTGTCCCGCCTCAAAGCACAAGCCAGCAAGGACATCAGCCTCGCAAGGGTCGCAAAATGGGCAATTGCACACCAACACTAGGCCGTGGAGTTCATGAAGGTCGTCCACAAGGTTGGAGTCGAAGAGGTAGGCCACGTAGTGCCAAAGCCAATCATTCGACTGGCTGTTCAACCCTGGGACCACCGGGGATGATGGGAGCCACGACCCTGGCCCACATAGATGTGATTGGGCGGCAAACGCCCCTCTCAAGTAGTACATCCTCTACTTGAGCTCGACGAGGGATACGAGCCGCTTCTTCAGGGTCTGGCGGAGAAAGGCCCAGCCCCAAGGCTAGGGGTGCCATGGCCCACTCCCGCAAAGCTCGAGTCGAGGGTCAAGATCAAGCCAATGTTCTCGGGCGCCTACACACTCGAATTGCGGCAATCTAGGATCGTGCAGTGGTGCGCGACCGACTCGTACCGCCCACCATGATGCAGCCACCGCAATAGCAAAAGCAATGACTGCAGTGTATTCTGCTTCTTCTTTGGAGGGATAAACTGCACCACCATTCTGAAGGTAAGGCGCCCACTCCTGGGGCGCATGAGAATGGTGGCAGGTCAATGGAGGCCAGTGGTCAATCTCGTCCAAGTTGTGGCGGAGACACTGTGCTTTGCAACGGGCGCCACCCCAACAGCAGGCATTGTAGCGCTTGTCGCGCCAACGGGATGACTCCATCATAGATACCTCGGTGGACCCCCACCAATGAAGGCTCCTCCATGGATTCTCCCCCCCCGTTCATCCAATAAACGTATCTCCTCCAAGATGAATTCACATGCTTGGTTGTCAGTACGGACACGTTGAAGATCACGTCCTCGGAGAGGGGGAAGACCATCAGGGAGTGCAAAGGTGCTGGACACGGTCGACCATCTTCAAAGGTACGGGGTATCTCACGTGCCTGACTCTTAGTGGAGCAATCAAAGGCCGCACAGATAAAGTCCACATTGGCCAATTGCTCATGCAAGGATTGCTGGCGGACTCGTCCTGCGCAAAGAGCGAGCCTGCGGAGCACCTGCGCATGGCGCCGCAGCTTGCCGAGGTGGCA